TAAAAAATTTTTTTTTTTTTTTTTTTTTTTTTTTTTTTTTTTTTCTAGTTTGTCCAGAGACAGACAGACAGAGAGTGAAAGTGAGAAAGCAAGCCGCAAGGTCTGGGACACGAACCACAATTGGCCATGGGGAGTCCAGCGCCTTAACCATCACGCCACCTGCTGCCCGCCCCCTTTTTGTATATTTTTTAGAAAGATTTTTGCAATAGGGAATGTACACTTACAGAAAAGACAGAGACCGAAAGCAAGAAATCACCTTCCAGGCGGAATGGCCACATTACAATCCCTTCTCCATTCTCCTCTTGGGATTTGGGTGTGCACGCACATGTACCCAGAGTGAGTTTTACACCACCAGGGCCAGGACTCGAACCGTGGTCAACTACGTGGGAGTCCAACAATGTAACCATCATGCCATCTGCTGGTTCCCACCTTAGGTCCATTTACATGGAAGAGAGTAGCATGGGCTAAGAAAGCACCAGAGCAAAACACCCTAGAATTCAGGCTCTGCCCAGCCCTGCCCTGGGGTTAGGCAGAGCGAGCTGGTTCTGCTTCGGAGCTGGCCGTGTTTGCAGGCGAGGCTTATCTTTCTGAGACACTTTCCTCATCTGTGAAATGGAGGCATCGACTATACTCCCTAGTGAGGTCGGCGACATGAAATGAGGTCATCTAGAGAAGTTCTTAGAATAGTTCCGAACACAGAAGTGGGCCCTGAATGTTAGGTCTGAGCCGAGCCCTCCTGTGCGGAGCCAGGGGACGTTTTCTGAGCTCCTGCTCTGGAGTGGCACCCACCCTTGACGTGTTATCTCAGTTAGCTCTCACAACCCCACGAGGAAGATGTCTGTTACCTATATGAGCCTATGAAGACTAACGTTCAGAGAGGCCCAGTGGCTTGTCCAAAGCCACACAGCTTGGGACCAGCCGAGATGGGTTTCAAACTTAAGCAATTGTGTAACTTCAAACCCAGGTTCTTTGCTGTCATCACTGTTACTGCCCCGTTAACGATGACTGCCGTCAATCATAAGTTATCCTTATTATCCTAAGACTCAGAGGGGCCAGCAGGTGGCTGGTGGTTAAGGCTCAGGGCCTGCCGCAGTTTGAGTCCTGGACCTGGTGGCTTGAAAATCACATGTGCGTATATACCCAAAATCACAGGAGAATGGAGAAGGGATTGCAGCATGGCCATCCCCCCGGAGGGAGATTTCTCACTTTCCCTCTCATTGTCTCTTTCTGTCTCTCTATCTCTTGCCTCTCCAGTGAGCACATGTGCTCTCTGGCAAAACTTTAAGAAAAAAAAAAAAGAGTCAGAGATAATTTTCTCCAGTTTATGGAATAAATATAATGGGTCATCAGACAAGTCATGATGCACTTGTGCATAGAAAAACAGAAAAACATGTCATAACTTTTCCGACAACCCAATTATAGAATAGCCCCCTTAATCAGACAGTAAAGTCTCTATAACCTTGTTTCTACTTGCTTTTTCTTCCTACCCAGGTTTGCATTCTAAGTCGGTCTGCTTCCTGACACAGCAGGCAAAAGAGGCTGGCACCCCCGGAGGTTCAGGCTCCACGGTCAGACCACAACAGAAGGCAAGCCCTCCTCCTCTTCCCACAGAGACAGATGTCAGCTGGAAAGGAAACGACTGATAACCTGATAACCCCATCGGTAAAACCCTAAAACCCAAGCCCCAGCACCTGCTGGCTTGAATTTGCATGTTCTGTCGCTGATCCTCTGCTCTGGACACGCACTGTCCTTTACCTGCCTGGCTCATTTCCCAGTCTAAACAAATTCTGTCCCAGAGGCCACTAACCTCTCACTGCTGTGCCAAAGCTCGGCCATTTTCTCAGTGGCAGTGGGGCACAGAGTGGGGTTCAAGGGCAGGAGAGCCTATGTGACAGAGTTCCCTTGGTTCTAGCTATGAGCAGCAGAGCATCGAGAGGGAAGACGGGTCATAGGACCTGCTGACCCAACCAACTTGGAAGAGATTCCGCATCAGAGCCACGACCAACCGGCCCTGTGCAGTCCTGGAGGGCAGACAAGCCCTGTGGTAGTTAACAGGCCCAGAAACCGTAAACAGAAAAACAAATACCGTGGTGGCTGACAGCCTGCGGCTCTGTGGTGTAAGCTAGCTGCTTTGAGAGGGCATGGAAACCAGGGAGGGTGATTCCAACAGTGAACGTCAACTGGAATGCGGACAAAACCCAGCCGATCTCCCCCAGGGAGCCTGGTGTCTTCCCTACCTGGACAGGCCCTGGCGACTTCCTGGAGGAACATCCTGGTGTGTGAACCGAAGGGTAGCTGCAGTGTGAGGCTGAGCTCTGCGGTGTCCAGCTGGACTGTCACATCTGCGCCTGCACAGAGCACGCAGGGAATGAGCCGTTGGCCTCCAGCAGACAAGTGCTTCGATGTGTCTTAAGACTGGCATCCCCAGAAACCCAGGCTCCCCAAGCCCCTTCAAACCTACAGCGACTCCTTCAAGGGCTGCCATGGGGACAATATGACCCTCTGTACCCTCAGTTCCGTACTGAAGTCATCCCCACTTTAGAGAAGAGGTTGATGACGGCTCTGAAAAGCCAATAAGCCTTGGGACCAGCAGTTAGCGTAATGGCTATGTCGCTGGACTCCCACGTAGTCAACCAGGGTTCAGGTCCCAGACCCGATGGCTTAAAACTCATGCCAGGCACGTGTGTGTGCATGCCCAAGATCCCGAGAGGAGAATGGAGGAGAAGGGATTGCAGCGTGACCATCCCTCCTGGGGGGTGATTTCTCGCTTTCTGTCTCTAATGTCTCTCTCTGTCTGTCTGGCGAGCGCACGCGCCCTATAGCGAAAATCTGTCAAAAAAAAAAAAAAGAAAATCATCGATGAAATATCAGTTTTATTATTATTTGTATTACTGTCTAGCAAAGAAAATAGACATGAAATATATCAATATAAAATAATTAAGTCATTGAAAGTGACAGAGGACCAAGGATGAGTAAAATGGTCCCTCTATCATTAAAACACAAACAATGATATAGTTTCAGGGTTTTCTTCTTTAAGAAATTTGTCAGGGGGCTGGCAGGTGGCATCGTGGTTAAGAGCACTGGACTCCCACCTGACCCACAGTGGATTGAGTCCTGGACCTGGCGGCTTGCTTTCTCACTTTCCCTTTCTCTCTCTTACTGTGTACCTCTCTGGTCAAATTAAAATTAATTATTTTAAATAATTCTTTTTTTTTTTTTTGGAGAGGCTTTTGCTATAGGGCGTGTGTGCTCGCCCGAAAGACAGAGAGAGACAGGAGACAGAAAGCGAGAAATCCCCCCCCGGGGGGGGGTGGCCACGCTGCAATCCCTTCTCCTCCATTCTCCTCTCAGGATCTTGGGCACGCACGCACACGTGCCCGGTGTGAGTTTAAGCCACCGGGTCCAGGACTCAAACCGCGGTCGACTACATGGGAGTCCAACGACATAGCCATTACGCTAACTGCTGGTCCCTAATTTAAATAATTCTTTAACAAAATTTCCCAGAGGGTGCCTGTTCTTGCCAGAGGAGAGGGAGAAGCCACCCCCAGTGGGGCCGGTGACAGCACAGTCTCTCCTAGTTCTTCCCTCTTTGGGATTTCAGGCATGCACACACACATGCTGGCGGTTTTCTTTTTTCCCCATAGGGAGCATGTGCTCGCTGGAGAGAGACAGTGCGAGGGAGAGGGAGAAATCACCCCGTGGGGGAATGACCACGCCACAATCCTGTCTCCTCCATTCTCCTCCTGGGACTTTGGGCAAGCACAGACATGTTCCTGATGTGATTTTCAAGCCGCTGGGTCTGGGACTCAGAACATGATTGGCCATGTGGGAGTCCAGCACCTTAACCGCACGCTGCCTGCTGGTCCTGCCTGGTGTGTTTTTCAAACCTCCAAAACCAGGATTTGAACCACACAGTGAGCCATGTGGGATCCAGTTCTTTTAACCACCACACCACAGACTGGCCCAGTTTCTGGGCAAAGAAGTGGGTGCGCTGGAGCCCTGACAGATGGGTAGGAGGTGGGTAAGCTAGAAAGGTCTGGGGCGGGGCTGGCAGGGGGCATGGCGGTGAAAATAAATAAAGTTAAATAAAATTATTTTTTTTGAGAAGTTTTTGCTATAGGGTGCGTGCGCTCGCCAGAAAGACAGAGAGAGACAGAGAGACAGAAAGCAAGAAATCACTCCCTGGGGGGATGGCCACGCCGCAATTCCTTCTCTTCCATTCTCCTCTCGGGATCTTGGGCACGCATGCACACATGCTTGGCATGAGTTTAAGCCACTGGGTCTGGGACTCGAACCGTGGTCAACTACATGGGAGTTCAGCGACATAGCCATTATGCTAACTGCTGGTCCCAATAAAATAACTTAACAAAAAATAAGATGTGGGGCTTTCAGGGAAAGGGGCACGCACGTGAGGGACTCTGAGAATGTGGCATGTTTGGGGTGAAGGACACAGCAAGGAAGGGAGGGGTGATGGGAGATGAGCCTCCAGAGGTGGGCAAGGGCAGCGTCCTGCTGGCAGTAGGGATTTAGGCAAGCTCGTACCCCACGCCATTCCCCTCTCTCTGCACGCCCTGTACCCCCTGCCCCAACTGGACCCACACTGAAAGGACCACTCACCAAGGACGTAGAGGTCACCATCCGGGCACACTGCAGGGGGAGGAAACGACATGCCCTGAGCACCCAGCCCCAGCATCATCCCACTGCCCCCCCATAAGGCAGAGATGACCTGGGGGCCCAGAGGAGAAGGGTCCATGCCCCCCGGCCCCCTGTGGCACCTTCTTCCAGCGTAAAATCCCGCGAGACTGGCACTATTTGGTCCAAAGAGACATCGTCCCCAGTAATGGCCATCCTCCGGTGCGTGTACAGGAAGAGGCTAAGGGCAGGAAGCAGAGGTGAGGGTGGGGTCCACTGGCAGTCCCTGGGGACCTTGCGGCGCTCATGCCCGCCTGGTCCCAGCCCTGTGCTGGTAGCCCGGCTCTGCCACTCCCACCATCCTTGCCCATGTGCCCGTCAGGGGCTGCAGTTTTATGCCTGAGGCCATCAGAGCTGACCGTCTCTGCTCCAGAGAGCCCTGCTTTGTTAGTAAAACACACGCTTGATCTATCCATGGGACAGTGTTGCCCGGTGTGTGACAGGAACAGTGCAGCCCTAGTCACCCTTCTCTCCCTGAGCCTCGGTTTCCCCTCTGTAAAATTGGACTGGGGTAGAGAAGGTTGGAAGCCCTTTCCCTCCTGGCTCTGAGACCCTGAGGCTCTCTGACTTGCTAGCAGACCTTTGGCAGGTGTTCCTTACCCTGTCTGCTTCAGAGTATTTGCAGAAGCGCCTTCGATGTGCCTCGTGGGTTTTAGACCCTTCCCGCGTGCTAGCTCATGGTAGTCTGTATCTGGACCCATTGAGGTCCACAGGAGTAAAATGATGTGCCCAATATCTCGTGGTCATGGGAACCTGCAGTTAGCATAATAGCTACGTCACTGGACTCCCACATAGTCGATTGTGGTTCGCGTCCCAGACCCGGTGGCTTAAAACTCACGCTGGGCGCGTGTGCGTGCATGTCCAAGATCCCGAGAGGAGAATGGAGGAGAAGGGATTGCAGTGTGGCCATCCCCCCTGAGGGGTGATTTCTCACTTTCTGTCTCTCTGTCTCTCTCTGTCTGTCTGGCGAGCGCATGCGCCCTATAGCGAAAATCTCTCCAAAAAAAAGAGCTCGTGGTCACAAGGACAAAGCCTGCCGGCACCAGGAGATCGGGCACGAGGCTCGGCAGCTGGCCAGGGTGATCGCTGCCTCTTCAGAAGCTTCCTCACCACATCTTGAGGATTACGTGAGTTAATGCACATGAAGGGTTTCGAACAGTGTTTCAACAGTATTCCCATCACTATGAGGATGCTTTTGGAGGACTCGGGCTCTGCCCTGGGGACGGCTGAAGCCCAGCTGGAGGATGTGGTAGAGAGTAACCCACGGCCCAGGAGGCAGGGCCGGCCCTCACTCACGCGTGTTCCTGGCCGCCGTGCTCCAGGCGGTAGCGCACGAGCCCCAGCAGGCGGCTCTGTCGGCTGTCTCCCTCGCACAGCACGCCCTGCACCGCCTGCTGCGAGTCAAGGGAAACCGCGCAGGACCAGGTCCCCCGCCTCCCCCCAGCCCGCCCGGCCTTCCCTGCCCTCCCGCTTCCCCCAGACTGACTGTGTGACCCTGGGCCTGTGGCTTCACCTCTCTGAGCCTTCCGTAACTGTGAATGGGATACAAAGCCCAGTGCACAGAGCGTGGGGAGGATAACTGCTCACTGACAGCAGCTGTCAGAGTGCATGACGAGGAAGTGCTAAGTAAATCCTGGCTTCCTTCTTCCCGCATGACTCAGAGATGGAGGACAGGAGCTGGGCGCCTGGACACCTTCGTCCCACTTCCTGAGGTCAGTGCAGACCTGGGGCAAGGGGCCCAGAGCCCTAGAGCAGAAAGGATACGATGATGCAATATTCCCCCTCGGCCAGCGTCTCCTGGATGGCCACGGACTGGTCCATGCCGGCCCCTGGAGCAGACACCCTGTGGGAGAGCAGGTGGGAGCCCCCACGAGGGGACGGGGCGACCTCAGAGGGCTGGGGGCAGAAAGGAGCGGCCCCTGTGGAAAGAGAAGTTGGAGCAGCACCCCAGACCCTGCTCCTCCATCAGGACAGGCCCAGCCCTCTGCCCCGTGGGATCCACGCATTGTCTGGGAGGGCTTCCAGGTGTTCCCGAGTGGGGGCTGCTCTAGCCTTTGGAGGTGGAGTGGCTGTCCCGTTATGGGAGGGGACATGGGGCCCCCTCGAGGGCTCCTGGGACAGGGAGCAGCAGCCCTGCTGGCACTCCTCTGGGAGGTGTCAGTGGTGTCCCTGTGGGGAACATCCCCGGACTGTCTAGGGGAGGAAGGCCCCTACCTGGGGAAGGAACCCAGCCCTGTCCTTTCTTTGGAGACAGGGAAGCGTCCTGTCCCGTTGCTCCTTGCCCCTCACCCCACCCAGCAGGCCACGTTGCATCAGCAGTAGGCCAGAGGAGTCCCGACCCCACGGCCGGCCGAGGTTGGGGGCCCTAGCCCTCAGCGTGCCCATTCCCCCAGCCCCACACTGTCCTGGCTTTTCTGCACCCAGCCCCCTGCCACTGCCGCCTACCTCCAGAGCTGTCACCGCTGGGCGCGCAACACCGGCCCAGGGCCCGGCCAGTGACTACACTTCCCAGCAGCCCCTGCGGTGCACAGCAGGCTGGTCAGCCCGCCTGCAAGTCCCAGCATGCCAAGTCAGCTGTGCGGTGGGGTGGGGGTCCACACCCCCATTAACCCCTTGGGTCCTGGAGTACACCAGGCTGCCAATATATTCCCAAAAGGTTTGCTAATGCATGCCCTACCGCTCATCCCCGCCTTCTACGTCACAGGGCCAGAGCTCCCCGACCCAGCGCCCGGAAGGAAGATAGGTGGTCACGTTTATCTCAAGGGGAAAAAACAGGTGTGTTTTTATTCTCCTGGTAATTCCACCCTCATCTCTTCTAACTCCAGTGCTGACCTCTACTGAAAACTTTCTCCCCAATAACCACTCTGCCCCAGCTTACTGGAGAGAGCAAGCGCAGGGAGAGCCTTTACTTCCATCCTCCAGGTGGAGAAACTGAGCCCTAGCGAGGGGAAGCGATTTCACCGAGCCCTGAAGCTCGCGTGTGGCAGGACTGGGACTCAGCTGACATCTGACTGCGGCTCTGGTGCGGTTTAGGGCCACACCCCGCCGTCCACACGGGCTGTGCGAGGACAGTGATGTACGTGGGGAAGTCACTCCACGTTCTGTGGTACTGTGAGGACTGTCGCCCACACCCAGCCTTCATTCCTCAGGAGGAGAGGACAGAGACGGCCCTTGGCCCTCAGGACAGCCTGAGGGTGGCCCGAGGGTTCCAAAGCCCCTTTCACTGGTTCACCTGGCCACGCGCCCTTGGCCCAAGACAGTTCTTCCTTCGGGCCTTGACATCCCCATCTAAGACAAGGAGGTGGCTCCAGATGCCAGAAAGGGCCGGCTCAGATAAGGGTCCGGGATTGCCCTCTCAGCCTCCTGGCCACTGCGCTAGGCAGCGTCCCTGGGACGGCTGTCTCTTCCTCACAGCCAGCCTCAGAGCATGTTTCCGAAAGAGCGTCTGTTTAATGAAGTGCGTGGACATACACCTCTCCCGCTTTGGCCCAGACTGAAGGAGCAACACGTGGATCTGGGCTGGGGAAGGGGCGACCACCGTGACTTCTCACCAGCTCTCCCCCCTTCCCTAAGCCAAGGTGCTGCCCTAATGGCTGATCCAACTTTGTAAGCCCCCCCAAAACAGATACCACCTTCTTCCCCACTTTCTCCTGGTAATGTCC